AATGGTCATACCAATAATTGTTTTGTCCAAGCTAATCAATGAGATCCTCATTTCTCATTTTGAAACCATTTGCTACCTGCCCAAATCTCTGAACTTTGCTCCAAAATTGAATGGTGAAACAACCAGATTTTTAAACACACACATACACACACACACACACACACACACACACACACACACACACACACAGTGGAAATAGGAAGTGTCCAGTAAGCAGATTTTCCATTTCTATCCATAAATCTCTGTAGTGGCCTAAAATTATACAATTGGACTTCAAGGTATTTTCTCATCAACTTTAGGCTCATGTGAATTCAGGCCATTTGAGGGAACGCTGGGGGATTTTTAAGAATGGATGTCCTTCCTGGCCTTCCAAAAAAAAAAGAGAGAAAGTCCTAGTCCTGAGTATGAGAAAATTGTTATCCCTGTCTAGATTTATAGACCGTATGCATTTATATTTCTGGAAATAGGAATACAGTGAATAATCATATATAAGAAAGAACTGACTGCAACTCAATAGCTGGATCTCTGCCAAGGCCTTAGGTAAGAAATGGGACGACAAACATGGGTCTTTGGGTGTCCATAGACTCTTGTGGAAAAAGAAGCATCATACTTTTGTACACCCCCTTTTTCACAGGGATGTGACTTGGGACTTTCAGCACGATGGAGCAAGGCTGCTTGCATCAGTCTGATTCTTTTGAATCCTCCTGCTGACATCAACTGTCTGGATCACACATATAGAAGGGACTTCCCAGAATCAAAGTTAGAAGAGGACTATTCAGCCTACAAAGTCCAGCTGAGTGCAGGACTCCAAATTTAAAGCATCCTTGACAGAGTCCTGCCCAACCTCTGCTTGAAAAATAGCTAAATGAAGTAAAGCCGACATTTGGAGAGCCAGTCTGGTCTAATGGTTAAGTCACTAGGTTAGAAAGCAGGAGACTGTGAGTTCTAGCCCTGCTTTTTGAAAGCCAGCTGGGTGACCTTGGGCTAGTGGTCACTCTCTCTCAGCCCACCTCACTTCACAGGGTGGTTGTTGTGGAGAAAGTAGGAAAAGAGAGGCGTGTTGGATAAGTTCGCCGTCTTGAAAAAAAAAATTGGGGGGGCTAGCTGATTCCACATTTAAATGGTCTTACTTAAGCAGTTTTTCCTACTATTCAATAAGAAATAGCTTTCCTGGAACCAAAATAATTTATTCCATGTCCTCCAAAAGGACAGAAGGCCTCTCTTCCTTCTGAAGCTTTTCTGATCCTCCTTCAATTATCTTCTGGAGGATGAATCTATCCAATTGCCTCCATCTCGTTTTAAAAATCTCAATCTCTTTCATTCTCATTGCTTTTTTTTATTTTCATTTTTTGCATCTGCTTCACTTTTTTTGAAATTTCTTAAAACATGTCATCAGGCACTGGATACAATATCCGAAGTGGGGCTCCCACCAGGCCAGAATGGAGTGAAATACATTTCAATCCCACGAATTGGAAATTAAATTTGTATTGATGCAATCTAAAATGGTACCTATCTTTTTAGCATCCACATTCTGTCTCATGCTCAGCTTTAGATTAACAATAATTCTTTTCAACTACTTTTCTCTGGTAATATTACCAAGCCAGGTGGCTCCTATACAACATCATTTGATATAGTTTGTCCTTATCAAATTTTACTTATTTATTTTTAGCTCTTATCACAATTCTCTCTGAATTGTGTTTCCTGGAGGATTTAGGTATCCCACCCAGTTTTAAAAGTCTGTAGAGATTCTCAGTCATCCAGGTCGTGGTTGTCCCCAAAGTGCTTTTTCAGGAGGCAACTGGACTTTCGTGGTTTTTCTTTTGAAGACATTTCGCTTCTCATCCAAGAAGCTTCTTCGGCTCTGACACAATAGTCAGGAGTGGAACAAGAAACAAGAAAGTCCAGTTGCCTCCTGAAAAAGCACCTTTGGGGCATCCAGTTTTAAAAATATCTGCCCATTTAACAAGCAACTCTTCCTTCACGTTGTTAGTTTAAAAAGTTGAAGATTAGAGGGGCCAAGAACCTGTAACTCCCACTTGGTATCTCATTTCACTTTGATGAAGAGTCACTAATGAGCCCTCTCTGAAAACAGTTTTCAATCCATCTGGGGATTCAGGCCAAGAAGAATTGGATTATTTACCAAAACTGGGCATACATTGCTCATAGCTCCAAAGCAGTTGGTATTCCTACTGAGAACATGTGGAAGTGAATTTTGCTTTGACCATGGTTAGGAGAAAAGGAAGGGCTCCGTAAAAACAAAACAAAAAAGGTAGTCCTTGACTTACAGCAGTTCCTTTAATGACCATTCAAAGTTACAACGGCACTGAAAAAAAGTGACTAATTCTTGGCAACTGACTCATATTTCTGATGATTGGGTCATGGAAATCACCTTTTGAGACCTTCTGACAAGCAAAGTCAGTGGGGAAACCGGATTCACTTAACAACCGTGTTATTAAGTTAAGAACTGCAATGGCTCATTTAACAGTGGTGGCAAGAAAGGTTGTGAAATGGGACAAAAATTCACTTAAATCCTGTCTTGCTTAGTAACAGGAATGTTGGGCTCAATTATGGTCATAAGTCAAGGATTACCTGCAGTTGATTTTACCAGGATCTCCCAATTTATTTAAAATATTTAAACAGTCACCCATTTTATGTCAAACTCTGGGCAGCTCCCAATCAACAATTAAAACAACACTAGTAAAAACAGCATTATATATAAATCTATTAAAGCCATAAATGTTAGCAAGGTACTTCTAATGTTTGAATAATGCTACGCTTTGGGAAAAATTGGCCACATTGAGCACCTTTTTGTCTTTAATACCATCAACTGACACACAAAATTTCCTTGAGTCATGCCAATTAGAGAGCTCTGTATATTGAATAAACGAATAGCATATCCACAATGCCCTGGAACAGTTTTACAGATGGTTATAAAATGTCCCACTTCTTAAAAAATGGAAAAAAGCACACATGAAATGTTACTGGGTCCCATTTGAAATAGGAATGCTCAGATTTAGAGATTATTACCTGTTGAGAAATCTTTGGTGTTACTGGTGGGTTAATTTGCTTGCCCTGTAGGTCTTGAGACCTTGGTGTAGGTTTTTTGTTTTCGGGAACGGAATCTCGAGTTTTAGGTCTTACAACGTCACTTTTCGGACTGTCATCTAGAGTCTGTGGTTGAGATTCTCCCTGTCGATCCCTTGGTTTTGGAAGACTGCTAACAAACTGTTCCGGTTCCGCCTGCTCGTGCAGTAGCGAGTACTGCTCATCTACATAGGCCTTGACACATTTATCTGGGCTCTCTCTTTCTAACTCTCCAAGGTTGAAGTTGAGGGAGGCAGTGTCTGTCGGGGGCATGCATAAGTGCACCAATGTGCCTACCGCCCCATCCTATTATTTCTTTTATTTTTCTTATATGTATCCATTTCATGTATTCATAACTATGTTTATACTTATACTTGTTATCTTATAATTGCTCGACAAAATAAATAAATAAAAATAAATAAATAAAACCTTTCAATGGGGCTCCATTTAGGGTGCATTTCTGTCAACACAATTTGCCTGTATTCACTATTAAAAGGAAGTAATAGAGATGCACACCTGGCCCAAACAATAAGATAATAGCTAATGCTGCCAATAAAACTGCATATTTGTAGCTCAGGGTCGTTATGAGGGGTTCTTGGTGCTCTCTGAGCTGGCTTGTTTTCTTGAAGACATTTCATTACCCTACTAAGTAGCATCATCAGTGCATTGATGCTATTATCTAGTTTGGGTAATGAAACGTCTGCAAGAAAAGAGGCAGCTCAGAGAGCACCAAGGACTCCTCAATATCTAATAGTGTTCTGATTGTTATAGAGTGGTGGATGGGTGGAGTAAATACCCCATCCTTTCTGTTCTTTTTAAGAGTTATTCTGCAAGGTAAGTCTGATATAGTGGCTGGTGACACTCTCCTCTCCCTCCAGGAAAATCAGTGATTCGGATAAGTGACTCAGATGCCCTACTGCTTGCTATTCCCACTCAGATGACTACACACATAAATTGAAATCATCAGAGAGGCTCAACAACCAGAGGAAAACAGAACAGACTTCCTGAGGAAGGGGAGAGGAAAGGGAAGAAAAGCAATAATTCTCAAAGAAGTCAACAGGATTCAGGGTTTT